TACCCATATGGCTTAAGGACAGTAGGAGCTATATACATATGAAAATACAGATATCAGGACCAGGGGTGTCGTCCAGTAACGGAGCACATGCTGTATTTGAGTATATCTGTATTGGGGCCATATCTTCCAGTGCTACTCTGTTGGACAATATAGGTATTGAGGATGGGAAAAGGGGTTTGTTCCATCCATAAAATTCTGATTCCCCACCAGAACATTTTTCTCTCCCTTCTCTCAAAGAAGAGGGATGTGTGGCAAGTAAATGTTAGCAATTCTGGGTTTATCAAACAGAAATATTTCTTAAAACCAGAGAATCTCAGAACCTGATGGGCCAGTGTGTGTCGTAGCCTATAAGAACATCACAGTCCAGATCTGACCTTACAGGACAAGACTGCCACAGCCCATTTTGGTATTGGCTGGTTTGCAGGGAGCAGAAGCCTGGTGGCATGCAGAGAGGACATCCAGAAGGAATCACCAAGGCTGAGGGAGGAAACGCTCAAGCCCCCAAAGCAGCAGTTAGCCAAGGAGCAGCACTGGGCAGGTGGGGGGACTGTGGGGCATGTGGCTTCCTGGAACTCAGCAACACTGGAGTCCTTTTACCTTCCTGAGAGCTGGGTCAGCCAAGCAGTGGGACAGGGGTCAGTGTATGCAGACTTAGAAAAGGGAAAGGAGAGCTAGAGGGAGTTGACAGGAGCATAGAGCCCTCTTGTGAGTTTGGCAGTGAGAGGAGAGAAGGTGTCAGAGAGGGAGCTGGGTTGAGGCAGGTGTGTTGTTTTAAATAACAGGATGCGAAGAAGATCTAAGAAAGACGAAGCGAAACTGAAAATAGCAGTATGAAAGAAAGGAAAATGTTGTGAATGTTGTAAGCCAAAAATCAAAAACCAGACTCAAACTTAAAAAGCAAGAAAGCACTTTATTTAACTGAGCTCAGCGGCGACATGTACTCTCGTCTCCAAGTAGGTGTGCACTTAGTCTAGGTGAGGCACAGTTTTTAAAGGGAAAAACCACAAGAGTAGAGAGGAGGGGGGATTTTCCAAAGCTTATTTTGAGTCAGTTATGACTGAGGGTTAACTTTTTGTTCCCATAGACGAGGTCACATTTTGTAAACCCTATAGCAATATGTTTTACTTGGCTTAGGCATTGTTTTTGTCTCAGTACTTAGAAGGACATCTGATGAGCATTTTACCAATTTTCAGGCATTCTGTTTGTTCCCATAGCAAAGACAGTTTAACTCATTCTGCAGAATGTTGAGGAACATTTTCTTATTTGCACAGTCACATTCTTCAGGAAAGGCAAGGGGGGGGGGGTTGCAAAACGGAAGTTACAAAGCTTGTTACAAAATGGAGTTTAAGTTGTCAGTTTATACCAAATAGTCCTTGTTAATAAAGTTACAGTGGAAACATACAGAGTTACAAAATTGGAATCAATTACACAGGTTATAACAGTGAAGGAGAGGGTCAGTTGGGAGCAATAGGACTCTAGTCACCTGGCCAGGAAGTAAGCTTAGGAACGAATGAACAGAGAGATAAGGGGCATCTGAAGGGAGGGCAGGTCAGAAACTGGGACAGAGCGTAGACATTAAGAGCCATGGCCGTGAAGTGCTGAGGTGCCAGGTGGGCAGGGTGGACAAGAGTTGTCCCCATGTCCATCTTATTGGTAAAGCATATGCCACCTGAGTTCCGGCTTCAGACCTGACAGAACCTGTCACTTTTCTTCTTGTCTCAAGCTATTAATCTAGACCCAGGCCAGTGTATGCATTTTAACTTAAATCACTGTTGCCCAAATTGTGAGGCCCACCCCCGAGTTACACAGGGTGTGGTACCCAGGCCAGCGCATGGTGTTTTAATGTTCATAGAGTCATTCTGCAGTAATGACTTTCAGAAGAAACAGTAATAGCCATGCTTCACTTCAAACATGAGTAACTTTAAAGAAAACACTAACTAAATAGTAGAGGTGGAATCGTCCAAAATCTTGGACATAAAACATAGAACATGAGTGAGTGGAGTCTGCAAAGCACAAAAAGGAGGGGGGTCACCTGAGAAACAGTTCTGGGGGAGGGGGTCTGCCCATTAGCTCAGTTGTTTAAGTGCCTGCCTAAGTAAAGGCAGTCAACCTCAGGATGCTATGGTTTCATCCCCAGCTCCTCACATCCTGAGCCAGCCAAAAAAAAAAAAAAAAAAAAAAACCCTTCTGAACTTTTCAAAAAAATTAACAAAAAAAAAAAAAAAAAAGCAGCAGTTCTGTTGCTCCCATCAGTGCCTGCCCATGGCAGCACCCCATCGGAAGCGGCATTGTCTTTGCCAGGTGTCCAGCCCCTTGCTGCACCCCATTAGCCTTCGTGATTCACTGCACAGGATAGGATAAAATGCAGCCCTGCAGAGCTTTATCTTTTAAAAATAATAGTATTATTATGATGTCTTTCTGCTCCCTGTACATGTAATCTTCCACATTCAGTTCTTTCCACTGTGACAGTCATTTTTAAAGAAAAAAAAAAAAAGCTGTTGTCCTTACCTGCAGAAAATCAAAATGCTGTCTTCAGTGGGACCATCTGTAATCCACAATTTGTACAAAACAGTAACAGAGATATAAAGGAACTCCAACCTGATCTTGGCATATTCCTCCCTGGGGCTGTGCCCTTTTGTTCCCATTGTTGGGCCTGCCCTGTGACACACATCTGCATCTGTCACAGCACTCTCTTCCTGTGTGCTCCTGGGACATCTCCCTGTGACCCTTCCTGGTGGCCTCAGTGACAGGTGACCACTGTGCTTTGTCATACCTTCTCCCAGCTCTCTGAAGCACATTGCTTGCTGCCCAGTGTCTTAGCTTGCCATTTAACAGTCCTATGCACCTGACTGCATGGTGCTGTTAAAAAATGCTGTTAAATTTTGAAAACATTTACTGGAGCAAAGAAATATAAAACAGAGGTCAGGGAGATGCTCAGTAGAATAAGCGCTTCCCTGGCAAGCGCAAGGGTCTGAGTTCAATCCCAGGTTCCACCAAAAAAAAGAAAAGAGATATAAAACAAATAAAAAACAATTAATAAATCAGGTAGCTACTAAACAGACCCTGAGAACTCCAACCAATATTGTTGTCTGCTAGCATTTATAGAAAAGACAGATTTGAGGCATAGAAAACAGTTTAATTGGCCTCAACTTAGTCACCCAAAGGCTCACTTGGGATCAGTGTAACTAGTTAATTGGTTATAGCTTAACTAACTAGTTTATTGGCTACGGGGCATCCCACAACCAGCCAAGCTCAGTTCTCTGATTAAATTCTATATTGGTTTGTCTGTCCAAATCCATGACCTCCCGTAAATTTTGTTTCACAACCTGCTTGTTTTTTGCCTTTGCCTGAGGCGTTCTGAGGCATCCCGTCTCACTGTATAAGGAGGCCCTCAGCTGCTGACTGTGCAGTATGTCGCTTTGGTGTCACATAGCTCAGCATCGAAGTGCCTGTGTGAGTAAGCGCCGTGGTGAACGCACTGCCTCCTACCCTGATGCCAGCTGCACTGACTCCTCTGTATCACTAGTGATTGGATATCAGCACTGTATTCAAAACCAGGAGTGCATTAGTGGTCTTGTCGAGAATTGCTGGATCCTGGGAATTTTAGGTTCTCCAACCCCAGAAACTTGCCGTTGAGAAATCTAGGGACATGTCGCTTAATTTTGTATTTATTTATTTATTTATGTATTTGGTACATTAAAAGGGTCTCACTACACAGCTTGGATGCTCAGGGATCCTC